GAATCTCCCTTTATTGTGGTGCGTTGATCTTGTTAATGACCAGATTCGTATGTGCAGCTGCACATTACTGCGTACTTATTGTCTGCATTTAGGCCTTAAGTCCTGTCACTGAGTGACAGCACGGGCTGCACAGCCCACCCAAGGCTTCAAGCATGTTGTTAGCTCTGAGTGTTTATGCTCCTGTGTGGATTTAAGATAGGGACACACTCTGGTAGTATTCCTGTGCAGATTTGTTTGGACATGGAGCATCAAAAGATTTTGGACAATCCCAGCCTCAGGCTTATGAAATACCAGGAGTCATTTGGAGCATGTCTGTGGTAACTTTGTTGTAGCTGAAGTTTCTCACAGCTAGAAACATGTTAAAAGTTAGCTCACCCATCCCAACCAGGGACTTTTGACCTTGTGGCACTGCTACTCCTGGTGACTGACAGGACGATGGTGACCCAGTGTGGGGACTTTGGGGCCAAACTGCCCAAGTTCAAACAGGTCCTCTACTTGCTGACGAGGGTGACCCAGGCAAGCTACTCAACTTGTGTGCCATCATCTGCAAGCCTCCCAGAGTCACTGTGGCAATGGCTCAACTTGGGAGCTCATTTGAGACCAGCAGTGCTTAAACAAGAATGTGATTCCTGGCTGGCAATGGTTAGTAGTATAGGGAGTAGAGAGGCCGAAATTAGAGGCATTGGTGACCACTCTTTACCTTTAGCTGTAAGTATCACTTCTCAGGGCAGACAGCAGCTTGTATAGGTGGCCTGCAGGTCAGGCAGAGGAAGTTAAACCCACAAAAAATGATTCTCAAGCAAGGAGAAAGGTGGGTGGTGAACCTGCTGGGCAGACAAGGCAACAGGAAGGTGTGGGAACAGGGACTATCTGTCTCCAAAGGGTTTGTCATGCCTCTTGGGTATGGGTATCCTTACTTGGTACCTTGAACATCTGACATTATGGCAGAAATGATTATATTTTCACAACATTGTTTGGCACTTTAGTCGGATACAATGCAAATATAGGAGTTGGAGGCAAGGCTCAGGTGGTAGAGCACTAGCCAATGAGTGAAAGCATCAAATACCAAGTTAGAAGGAAGGGAGGGAGGGAAGGAAAATACAAGTGTAGTTCTTATAATGAATAGCCAGCTAACACAAGATCTGGAAAAATTTTCCCAGCTGGTCTCCTATAATTCAGGCCAGTTCTGATACTATCCACCTGGAATTAGTGTCTTTCCCACAAATTAAGGATTCAGCCCATGGCACTGCGCTCAGTTCCGGCGCCAGTGGCAAGGCTTGCTCCTGCCAGGAGTTCCCACGCCCTCCTAAAGTTAGCCAGCTTCCCACAATGGCTCACAGAACTTAAGGCAAGCATTTAATTATGTTTACTGCTTTATGGTAAGCAGCTCATCAACTCTGTTGACAAGTTTTATACAGCTTAATCTCCAGCCCTCCCTCCTCTTTCCCAAAAGTCAGTGAATAACCCCCCTCCTCCTCCAGTACTGCTTCTAAGCTTCTTTTGCTCAAGGGTAACACTCTACCACTTGAGCCACAGCACCATTTCCTGCCTTTTCTGTGTATGTGGTACTGGGGAATGGAACCCAGGGCTTCATGTACACTAGGCAAGCACTCTACACCAAGACACATTCCCAGCCCCAATGATCCTCTCGTAAAAACCCCAGATTTCACTATATTTTTTAATGAATCTAGATTTTTGTAGTTGGTTTTTTGTTTTTATTTTTTATCTAAATCAGATATTGGCTTGCACCTGTAATCCTAGCTACTCAGGAGGCTAAGATTTTAGGATTGCGGTTCAAAGCCATCCTGGGCAAGAAAGTCAGTGAAACTGTTATCTCCAATTAACCACCAAAAAACCAAATGTAGAGCTATGGCTAAAGTGGTAGATCACTCCCTTAAGCAAAAAGAGATCAGGGATAGCACCCAGATACCCAGTTCAAGCCCCAGGACCAGAAAAAGAAAAGGAGGGTTGGGGTGAGAGGGTATATATGATCTAGATTTTCACATGTATTTTGGACCTTTAAAGGTAATTGAAATTAAACAATTTTTAGAATGAGTCTGCTGACAGTGCAATGAGTAAAGGTCTATTTGCTTTGTAAATAATGAGTACTTCTGGGATTTCGTTAAGGTTGTAAAACATTATATAAAAGAAATTTTCAGAGTTTTTGTGTTTTGTTTTTTAAAGTTCCCAGCCAGGCACCAGTGACTTGTAATTCTAGCTATCAGGAGACTGAGATCTAGAGGATCATAGTTCAAAGCCAGCTCATGCAGAAAAATCTACCTAATCTCCAAAATCCCATCTCCCAAAATCACCAGCAAAAAAACCAGGCTAGAGGTGAGTGTGGCGCAAGTGATAGAACAAGCAGGTTTTAAAGCCCAGACTTCAAACCCCAGAATGGGCACAAAAAAAATTCAGAATCCCACATAAAAGTAGCCATTGCATAATTTATTCAAACTACTAACCAAGCTTAGTATAGTAGTATCAAACTACTAACCAAGCTTAGTATCATATTCTCAAAATAACACTGGCAGGTTATGGTCTGTGTCTAAAATAGCTCTATTTTTGACAACTTATAAGAGGAAATTGAAAACCACTATTTAAAAATAACTTTCAGATTTCAAATTTGGGATGTGTACTCCAGCTTGGTTTAGGTGTGTTTGGTGCCTTATTTAAAGGGGAAAAATGGACCTTAGGAATTTGGGAACTTGTTTATAAGAATAAGGAAAGTTACTTCAAAGTAGCAGTATTTACTAATCCAGACCTAATGCTTTATCTGGTTCTTCCTAGTTCCCTTGGCCTTGCTGGAAGAGGAAGATGGCTGGCCCGGGTTGAGGCCGTTCTTCCTGGCTGTTGTGTCCACAACAGCAGTCATCTTAGTGGCTCAGCGCCCCACCCAGTCACGCCCCAATACCTTAGAGATACAGAAGCATCTTAGAGCAGGCAAGCAACTTGTCCACAGTAACCAGCAAGTACATGGGTGAACTGACAGAAACCTAGCGCCACGTACACAGTAACCTAGAAAACATCTACAGTCTGGTAGAATTCACTAGACCCTAAAGGAACGAGGCAGTAGTTTTGCCACAGAACAAATGGAGACGTGTTACGGTGCCCCTGTCTGTTGTGGCTGTGCACTGGCTGCTGTTGTTACAGTGTTCTTTCTTCCTGTGGTGTCAGATAATAAAAGCACATTTCTGGAGTCTACAGAGGACCTCAGTGATAGTTAGCAGATGTTGTCTGACAGGTGTTCTAAAAATTCATTTTGGTGAGCTGTTAAAAGTCAGCACAATCATTCCTGCTGGTCTTACAGTTACATTTTTGTATCCATTTTCTTTTTTTTGGGGGGGGGTCCGGTCGTGGGGCCTGAACTCTGGGCCTGGGCGCTGTCCCTCAGCTCTTCAGCTCAAGGCTAGTGCTCTACCACTTGAGCCACAGCA